AGTGGGGGGGGAAGGAGGAGGAGCTCCGGCTGGGGCCGCCCCGCCTCCAGGGAGGGCTTCCTGGGGGAGGGGGCGGGGCCTGTCTTTCCTTTTTCTTTTCGGACTTCAATTCCCAGAATCCTCCAGGCGGCTCCGAAGGGGAGGGGGAATAAGAGGGTGGCTTTGGGACTACAACTCCCAGAATCCTCCAGGCAGCCCTTGGGAGTTATGTGGAGCATCAAGCAGGAGGGGGGGTCGCTTTTGGACTACAGTTCCCAGAATCCTCCAGGCGGCCCTTGGGAGTTGTGTAGAAGAGCATCAAGTGGGGGTAGGGGTGGGGTCGCTTTTTTGGACTACCACTCCCATAATGCCCTGAAGGAGGGGTGGGGGAATCAATCCTCTCCATTCACAGGGCTCTCACTCTCACCATTCAACACTCCCCCCCCAAAAAATCTCTTTTTTAAAGCTGGAACTGGATACTAATAAAATTTGTTGGGTTTCCCCACCCCCATTTTGGGGGGGGTTTCCTCCGGAGTAGAGAAAAGGACCCCCCCCCAGATCTCCCCCCAAAAGAGTCCAGCTCTGCCCTAAAGCAAGACAAACGCTTTGCTATCCTTTGCCGGCAGGAAAAGCATAATTGCACCTTTAATAGCTTTACGATTCTTTCCCCCCCCCTTATTATTGCCTGCCCCAGGCCTGCCGCCGCTCGAGGCCAAGGCCTCCTTCCGTTTGCTAGCCAGGCTCGCTCTGCCTCAGGCAGCAGAATTTGGGAGTCATTGAAGGGCAGCAAACAATTAGCAATGCATGTGTAACAATCCTGTTTGATTTTGCACTTGGGGGGGGTGAACTGCACACAATTAACTCTATGGCTCTCCAGCCCAGTCAATTAGTGAATAATCTAATTTGGACGTTTCACATCATCATCATGGTGGGGTGTCATGTAGATAAGGCAGGTTACATCGGTGCCTAATATATGATTGTGGTTCCAATCTACATCATATATTTAATTTGTATGGTTTATTTATTTATATTCCCGCCTTTCTTCCAATACAAGGAAAACCCGGCCGACAGGCAGCAATTATTATTATTATTATTTGTTACCTATTTAAAATATTTTTCCTCCACTTTTATTTTCTTAAAAAGAATGCCCGGCGGCTTACCGTCATAAAAAGACGATACCTAACGGCTAAACACTAAGTAGAAAAATACTGAAAGGAATCAAACTACATTAAAAAAACGATAAGCAAAATCACACCAAAAATGGATTCAAAGCAACAAGATGCAAGATGGTATCTAAATACCCCTCCCAGACAATTAGAAAAGGCATATACATAAAAATTATAGGTTATTATCATTAAAACCTGAATAAACCAAGAGAATGTGAAGAAAGTGTTGTTGTTGTTATTATTATTATTGGAGGATAACTTAGACACTTCCAGTGTCTAAGATGGCCAACTTCCAGAATCCCCAGTCAAAGATGGCCATCTTAGACCCTGCCCGCAGGGGATTCTGGGAACCGGCCATCTTACAGCCTGCCAGTTGGGGATTCTGGGAGTTGTAGTCCACCCTCTCCCCCCCCGACCCGGAAAGCCCCACTCCCAAGCTCTGAGAGCAGCAGGGCTG